CTCACTACGGCGGCTGTGATTGCCACACCGATCATCAAACCGATTCAACCCTTGGCGAGCACTGTTATTGCAATTGCCGGTCGAATGACAGTGACCACTGCCTACTGCATTTCAGACCTCTATGCGGCTGAGGTGTTTCCTACTACTGTGCGTAATATGGGTATCTACATTATCATGACGACGGGTGCGGTGGTGGCCGCCCTGGCCCCCTATCTGAATCGATTGACGGACGTCTTCTACTGCCTGCCTGGCCTGTTGTACGGCGTTTTCTGTGCCCTGGGCGCTCTGTTGGTCTTCTTCTACATACCCGAGACAGGGAAATGTCCACTGGCCCAAACGCTAGACGAGGCTGAAAGACTTGTCCGCGGGCACGAGGATGAGTGGATTGAACAAATGTATGGAATGAACACTGAGATGAGCGTCAGTTCAAAGCAGACTTAGAACCTGTCTGCAATCCTTATTTCGAATTTAAACAGTCCGTTGACTAATGGATGGAACCTGCTCTTGTGTGCTTTCTTCTTCGTTACACAGCTGGATGACATCATTTGTTTATAAAGCTGCTGATCTGCGTCACTCACGGGAGAGGTATATTATCGTTTAATTTTGTGCTTACAAATTGTCATTTGGAAAAATAATATAAGCAGTCCGGCGACAGTCTACTAAAGGGCTCACCCCGAAAGCCAAGCCTCCAGAAGTCTGTAATAGGGGACTGGGGGTAAAAGGGTTATGGGGAGCGGGGCCTTTGGGGGTGCGGGATAGAAATTAAAACTTATTTAAATGCCATGAGAGCGAAGGAGATCAGTAATTTTGCCCAAGCAAAGAGATTTTGGCGTCAGAAGAATCAAATGGCTCCCCTCTGCCCCTTTCCGACTGAGCTGTCTTGGTTAGGCCTCCCACTCTACAATTTCGCTAGTGAAGTATTTTCCTAAACTTTTCCGCTGGACCTGTGTTTAACCAGTTTAACTGACAAAAATAATGACCATGCCGGATTTATCTTTCATCTTTAGTCGGTCATACCCTAACCGAAGACCAGGAGGCCGAAGGATCGTAGGGGTTGAATGCTTCGCTGGTTGAGCTAAGGTGGTGCGGTGTATCTGAACCAGGATTTCAAGATATTGCCAAAAGTTATTAACTTCATAAGTGAGCGAGATCAACTAAAGTCGCTCTTAAATGAGTCAATTCTGCCCCCTACGGACCTAAGGCCAAATTCAGGCTCAGCTATATTATACATATAATATTGACTGAAAGCGGAAAGACTTCGATTTTGACTTCGCATTGTTCCGAAACTTTTGACAAAATGTCAAAGGACATTTTCAATATGAACGTCTCTAGCCTAATACAAGGTTTTAATTATCTAACTGTGCATTGCATAACATGCATTGATCTCACCAAATTCGAATTTAGTGTTAGGGGCCAGCCTAACCTACTCATTCGCACGCAACCCTGGCGACTTGTTCCCACGCAACGCTATTGACACGCCCACACGCAGTGCACGTAATGCCGCGCAAGCCACGCCGCCAGCCGGAGGAGTTAGAAAGCCAGTCCAGTCATTACCCCCTTGAGTACACTATCTGATTGGTTCGATTGTAGGCTATCTTGTGCACGTTTTGTACACGTTTTTTTTGCCTTAAATACGCTGTACTAAGTATGTTAATAGACTTCCATTCATGCACCCTTGCTGTTAGGTTCTCCTTTGAGGATTCGAAATAGGCGTTGTTGGACAGCGAGCATCTAAGCGTGTGGCAAGTTTATAACACACTGGCGACACAAAAATCGCCATGTATATTTCCACGGAACAATTGCTAACTATCCTGCAGCAAGAAAAAGCTCAGTTCGAGGCAGCTCATCTGAAGATGATAGAATCGATTATGCAAAAATTCAGTTTGCATTTTACTGATCCAGTATCCTCTGTTGCTGCCTGTAGCACCGAGTTTATTTATGATTCCAATTCTGGCCTGACCTTGGTCGCTTGGTTTAGACGTTGGGAAGCTATTTTCAGTGTGGAATTTTCCAAAGCCGACGATGTTTAGAAGGTGTGCCTGTCACTGCGTTAATTGGGCACCAAAGAGCACGAGCTTCACCAGAAAAACCCTCGTGATTTACATTAGATGAAACCGTCAAGTAACTGCCAGAGAGCTTTGGTATGAAAAAATCACAGTTTAGTATACGATACCAGTACCTTAAGCTGGTAAAGAACGAGACGGACGATTTTCTGTCGCTCACCAGTATCGTTAACTGCAAATGTGAAAAGTTCAAACTGCGAGCGATAACAGAAGACCAGTTCAAGCGCCCCATCCTTGTATGCGCTCTTCAGTCACTTCGCAATGGTAAAATCACAACTCGTCCGCTCAGTAAAATTGAACAGGACCCCGACTTAACCTGCGGACCTTGACGGCTGAGTGTCAGCTGCTCAAGAATTTTAAGCATGATTCTGCCATTATGCAGCAACCCAGTTTCTCTCTAGCATTTCGTAGTAGTGAGAAAGTTAGTGACTTTACGAAAAGTGCACAAACCTGGCGGCAGTGACCACATCTCTAGGGTCCATTTCCGCTTAGATTAAAAAGGCGAAGACGCTAACAATAGCTGTCTATTCGACAGAGGAACTTACTGATGGACTTAATCACTCGAGGCAGCTTAAGGCATGGACGTAGCTCAACTACCACGACCTTCAGGTTCCCGTTCGAAAATTAAAAAACGCCAGCAAACAAAGCTTTAATCGCAGGGGCTTAAGTTAATAGGTCAAACCCTTGCCGCTGCGAGTTTCAGGCCCGGTTCCGTGTGAAAAGGGGAGAAGTGAGACGCCTGATGGGAGAAATAGTACATTCTGTACCGAGGTAGTGGAGAATAGGTTGGAGGAAGTTGACAGCCGAACGAGTGCGCAACCAGCTGCGAGGGGGTCGGTGTCCGAAGTGTAAGAGTGCGACAGTCATCACAGTGCGTCCCTATGTGAGTCAGCCCTTAAGGTGATTTGCCAGATCAGATTGGGATGAGCAGGCACTGGTGTTTGCGCACTTTCTAGCAGCCGAAAGTGTATCGCAGGGGGTTAAGTGAGTTAAACCGTGCAACTGCGATCTTCAGACCATGATTACTTAGTGCTGAAGAGAAGCCCATAAAGGCCAGAGTAGGAGGAAGAATGTATTGTGTACTCAAAGGAGAGGAGAATAGATGAGAGTAGATTGACTCGGGAGAGCCCGTACGC